CAGCTCAGGGGCCATCCTACAATACCATGAGGACGCAACCCAATGCTTCTCTGCTTACCCAAGCCCTTCTTCCTGCTCATCCCTCAATATTTAGGAGATTATCATTAGGTTTGCTCATTTAACTGTCATAGTTTGACATGGTTAGACTTGAAAATCATGACTTTTTCCTTGTCCCAGACATGAACTAATCAACCTTGATCCTTTATCTACCACACCTTCTCTAATAAATTAGCAGAGTTTACATAACCCACACCTGGTAGTTTATGCTGGGCATCAGTAAGCACTATTATGCAGTTCCATTTCTTGGCATCAGCACACATTTTTCCAGGTGGAATTTTCCTTCTGTTGTTAGTGTGTGAAGGCAGAGACATGTTAAGTTCTCTTATGTGTGACATTAAAAAATCAAGTGCCTAACAATAGCTAACGAGGAGAGGCTACTCCTTAAATGTGACACAGTGTGCTGAGTGTCCCTGATGCATCATCCTATTTCATTGTGAAAATATTCCTGGGTGGTAGATACTACTATTTTCCCCAGGGACCGATGAGAAAAAAGAGGCTATGAAGCATTGCATAGATTCAAGATTGTTTGAGTTTGTGGTCTCTGCTGCAAACGGCATCAGTGTAAAATGTTCAGAAGGAGGTAGACCACAGTCCAGATTCTCATCTTAGTCTTTGAAAAGTTTCTGACATCCGGAATGACCAGTAGAGGGCAGAAATATGAAGTCCGCTGGTCAATACACTTGGGCTTTAGGATTATTGAATCATTGAATTTTCAACAAGGCAGTTGGGAGACAAAGGTTCATGACCTACAAGATTAATTTGTTCCAGTATTCTCCATTTTATTAAAGAGAAAAATCAGTCCTAAATGGGTTAAATGATCTTTCCAAATTTAATTAATAGTCATGATTCAGGCCTCCTACTTCCCTTTTTGCACTCGTTGTACCAGAGAGGCTGAGTGTTCACTCGTGTCTGTCTTCTCACCCAAACTGGCCCTGGTTACCTTGTAGCAGTGCTTCTCACAGTGTGGTCTGCAGACCCCTTGGGGCCCAGAAACTCTGTCCCTTTCACTGTTGTGCTGAGTTTTTCTTTATAAACTCCCAGATGAGGAACAAACAAGCAAACATCAGTGTAGTTTCACTTAAGAATGTCCTTGATGAAGCAATAAAATTCATGGACTCTGTTTCATCTTGGCCCTGAAGCCAGGTTCTATTCACAGTTTGGACCAAGGAAGTCAGCATTGAGCACTTCTGCTGCATACCTCAGAGCTACGGGCATCTCGAGGACAGCAATGTGAGGACTGCAAGAACAGCTAGCAGAAAAATTAAGTTTATTTAGACTGGGATATGTGACAGATGTTTTCTTGAAAACGAAGGAAGTGAGTCTGTTTCTTTAAGCAGGAAATTAGCGTCGAGCACTTCTGCTGCAAACCTCAGAGCCACGGGCATCGATTTATAAGAGAACTAGTTGTATTTGTTGCCAATGATGAACATGAGTTTTGAAGTGAAAATTAGAATTTTGGAAAACTTTTCTCCATCACTATAAGCTCTTCAGCTTCCCACTACTTAAAGATTTTTCTAATAAGATTAGAGATAATATTAACAGAGGTCATTTTTAATATCACACCATGAAAATTTTCAACAGTTGAAGATCTGTATAGCTCAGTGAACCCATATTTTCAAATTTCCAAGGTATGATGTTCCACATTCATGCAAGAAAGACAAATGCATTTTAAAGTAACAGAATATGAAACATTCTTTGATATGGTTTCAGATTCTACATTACAAATCGTCTTTAAGAAACTACTGCTTGCCAAGTTTTGATGTTGTATCAAAGAAGAATATCCACAATTATCTGAAAAGGCATTCAAAGGGACACCTCATTTCCCAATTATTTACATAATTGCAATTTACTTATTTTCAAAATGCAACATGAGTTTTCTTACATATTTGAACCAAAGCAGCATATTGCAAATGATTGAATGCAAAGCTGCTGTGGGAATTATCAATAACGTATTTCTTCAATATGTGAAACTCATAATGGCAGGGTATCCTCATTAGCCTTCTTTACAGCCCTGGTGTTCTGGGCCTGCAGGAATCACATGCAAATAGTACTGGACAATACAGATGCAACTTGATTTTCTTATGGAGCCGGGGGTTGCAGGTGCTGCACAGGCAAAGGCTCACAGCCTCGAGGCCACTCAGCAACCTACATGGTGATCTTGGTGCTGGTACAAAGTCTAGCATAGCTCCGTGCAACTCCAGGGGGAAAATATGGTCCCAGCCCAGGGCAAGTAACTGTTGAAGCCAAAATCAGTCAAAGGGAGAAATAAAATGGGGAAAATCCATTTGCTGAGAAAAAACAGTTGTCTACTTCTCCTCACCCATGTCTCTTGTGACTCAGCTGCAAAAAGACCCCACCACACCTCTCTGATCCAAATATGCCCTCACACCCCCTTGTAATGGCCTATTGATACAGAGATGGACTACTTCTCTCCACCTCTTGGAAACACCTATTGATATGGAGGTACACTAAGGCCAGGCAAGAGATTCTGGAAATACTGCAATTTTACCCATACTCCTGTATCTCTTTATCATACATGTTGAGTGAAAGCGACTGCTCTTCCTTCTTCCTTTAGCTAGGGGGCTGGGTTTGGCTAATGAAGGACTACTTTTTTTATGGGTGAGTGAGAGGTGTGAGAAGAGGGGAGGGCTTTACAGAGGAAGGCTAGAACTCACAGGAAGAGATTCTCTCACACTCACTGTGAACCAGCTTTGTTTTGATATACTCAGGACAAGACCCTGAAAAGGGGCCGAGGAGTCCACCAAATCTACCCTCAGCTCTAGGACAATGCCAGCTGTCTCCAGAGCTTGGTGCATTTTCACCAGAAATGTCTCAGGCAGTGCAGTTCCCACTCCCTCTCTCTAGAGCCAGTTCCAATGTCCTTGGACTGCTTGGCTTGAAATCAACAAATACATTTTATCTCCATTTTTTGCTTCTCGAGTTGAAGAATTTGTCTTTTGAAAAATGTCTAAATCACTAAATTTTGTGTATAGGACAATTAACAGAGCTTCATTTTGTTTTTAATGGCAGGGTAAACATTTTCCGGAATCCACACTTAACCATGGCTGGCTCAAAGGTCTGACAACACTGTTTTTGGCTGATAGCATCACAGAACCATAGAGCTCCAGGCACATCTAGGTTTTATCTAGGTCAGACCTTTGGCTGCAAGCATGAAAATCTGAGATAAGTGGTTATCTCATCTATCAAGCTTTCCTAGGAACCAGTGCATAAATTTCTCTAAGTAGTTTATTGCCGTGGTTTATAAACTAGTTTAAGTTTTACTTATGATTGACCTTAGGTAGATTTGATTTGAAGTCTGTGGTCCAGTTAAGTCAATTTTCATTTAGGAATAAGAAGAATAAGAGGAGAAGGAGGAAAAATAATAGAGGCCACACTGTCTGATTTAAAATAGTGCTTATGTAATTACTTTTTTCACATTAATTTTGCAGTTAAATGGGGAAGCATGATTAATTTGGTTTACGTCTATATGGTTACTCATTGAGGTGGATAGTTGTCAAGTTATTTACAAGGTGAAATGTCTCTAATTAAACATATTAATCATAGACTTGGAGAGGATATTTTTGTACACTGTAAAAGGACAGCCACTGTCACAATTAAATAACACACATTTAAATTATTTTGCTTAACTAAAAATGGCAGGCTTACATACTCTGTATATTTTCCTCATGTTTATTTTTATAGAAACAGCATATGGATTTTTAATCTGCTTCATATTTCTAAATGTTACATATGATTCAATAAAATGAAACTCAAATGGGCTTTCTTCCAGGTCCACAAAAAATGAATAATGATGAATATCTAGTTAGCTCAGCCTTCTCCTTCCCCTTCTACTTCTTTCTTATCTTTGAACCAGGAAAGAGAGACAAGTTTAGTTATTTGTCAAGCCATTGAATAATTTTCTTCAATTTTTCCTAAATTAATTCAAAAGAAGAAAATGTTGTTTCCACAGCTGTAGACATTCAGATACTAAAATTATCATTGCTTCAATAGCTGCGGATGATGATAGGTACTTAAACATCTCTCAGTAGTTCATTCGAGGCTTTTTAAAAATAACAAAGTTACCAACTATGTCTTAAACCATTTACCCTTAGTGCTAAACTGTCTTAAACCTTGACCTTGCATGAGCCATCAGCATCCTCTTTCCAGTATAACTGCTTTTTCTTTATTAGCTGAGGATATTGACACCAGAACTAAATATTTGTGTGATGCTAAAGAAAATCATTTGGAAGTAAGACACAACAGGCACATGGGCATACCTGGTTGTGCTGCGCTTTGCACTATGATGCTTCACAGATGCTGCTTGACATACAGATTGAAGGTTGGTGGCCACCCTCCATCAGGTGAGTCTACTGCTGCCATTTCCCGACAGCGTCGGCTCACTTCATGTTTCTGTATCTCAAGTTGGTAATTCTCCCAATATTTCAAACTGTTTCATTATCATTATGTTTATTTATTATACAGTGGTCTGTGATCAGCGATTGCCATTTGCTGAAAGCTCAGATGTATTTTTTAAGCAATAAAGTATTCTTTAAGATAAGCACATTGTTTCTTAGACATAATGCTATTACACACTTAATAGACTACAGAATAGTGTCAACATAACTTTATATGCACTGGGAAACCAAAATATATGAATGGCTTTATTGCAGTGGTCTAGCACTGAGCCTGCAATATTTACAAAGTGTTTTTGTATGTTATTTGTAAACTTGCTTTGAATGTCCACATGACTGTATCACATTCTGTAAAAATAAACATTCCTGTCATGGTAATAAATTACAGCTTTAACACAGCGTAAGCAAAAACTACCTTTGAACACATTTGACTGACTTAATGTTCTAGGTTTTGTGTTAAATATTAATTTATGTAATCTCTGACACGCTGTGAAGTCCAGCTCTGACTTTTTGTTTTGCCACCTGAGATTTTCTAGTCTAACTGATGGAGGTTTCCGAGGGGCTCCCAAGCCCGGCTCTTCTTGCCTAGTGAGTCCTGCATGCTGTCATCTCAGGTTCGTATTCTACTCAGAAACCTTGAACATGTCTGTTTCCTCTTATACCATGTTTGGACCCCGTCAGGCTTTTCTGAGCTCCTGCAGTCTTCTCCTTGTGATCTTACTATCCTCTTGTCCTGAAAGGCACCTCCATTGAGGCCCACAGGTTCCTCAGGGCTTCCACGCACATGACTTTTCCTCTTTTCCAGTGACCACCTCCTTACCCTTGCTTCTGTGTCATCCTGTGTTCCATTCTGAAACCTTACTTAAACACACTCAAACATTGTGGCAGATTGTCAGTTAGTAGGGGTGTGTGTGTGTGTAGAGGTGAACGTGACACTTACAGGAACTACATGAACTCTGAACTTTGCTCACACAAACAAAAATGCAGTTATATTCAGAGGCTCATCGTCCTCCGAGTGTCTGAGGAGTCCAGGTTATCAACACCTGCTTGAAACTTTTCCCTTGAGAAAGGCTGAAGTTCTCTATGGCAGAAGCTGGCTTCAAGGAAGCCATTGAAGGAATGCAGAGTGCTGCAGGAATTATTTACTTTACTCCAGCCCCAAGAGCTTCTGAAATGCTCACTGTTTTCTGAAATGTTTGCCTTAGTTTTGTCTCTTCCACTGGATATAAGCCTTGAAGAAAGGGACAAAGGACTTTAGATGACAATACTAATAGTGTTGACTAAACAGGATACAGTAAATACAGTTGAACACCCATCAGTCAGTCAGCATTAAAATATTAAAGCAGGACAAGTTTTGTTGCCTAAGAAGACACGTTTTAGGTACCAGAGAACATCTGTTCCTGGATGAAGCTAGATAAATGGGATGGCCTCCTACTGGATTTTCCTGAAGAGAAAGCAGGGGCTCCCCCTCACCCTCCCTCACGCTGGAGCAGTGCCCCTACTGAACTGCACTCCCAAGGGGAGAGGGACTGGTGGGCAGAGACAGAAAAACAGAAAGAAAGGGAGAGAACTGAAGGAAGAGAGAAGGAGGAGAGGAGGGCGCATGTGGGGGGCAGAGGAGACAGTGCAGGCCTGCGGAGGAAGGCAGACGGAGAGGCGAGTGAGCTGGGAAAAGGGGCCACATTGGCGTCATATCCCCAGTTCAAGTTCATTAAACATCTTTTGAACAATTATCCATCCCTGCCTTCTGAGAATCGCCGTCTTTCACTTCCTTTATGGCTGACAGCCTGAGGAGTGCCGAGGTAGACAGGAACATGGCTACAAGCTCAGGCTGGGGTCCGCTGCTGCGGAGACTCGGCTGCTGTCTTTGTTCAGCCTCAGAGCTCATTGGATTTGCTTCCTGGTTTCCACTCATCCTTACCTTCTGCGATTGCCCCAGACTCCAGGTAATACTTGTGTGCATTTCATTCACCATTCAACTTATGTTTGCACTTAACAGCCTGAATATGACTTTATTAATAATTGTCTAGTCATGATCTCATTTTGGTGGGGGTTCACAGAGATTTCCCTTTGCCGGCTTCTTCTGAAGATCTCCACCCTTAAAAAGCTATCATATAAGTTTTAAAAGGTCAGAGGTTGAAAAATATCATGGCATTTAATGAATATTTGCATATGCATTTAATTTACTTGGGGGAAGATAAAGAGTAGCTATTAACAAAGCAAATATAATAATTGCCCTAATTAGTGATAAACTGAAATAGGTATTTTAGGAGAGTTAGAGTCAATATGTCAAGCAAATATTTGTGTAAGATGTAACTATTGATAAGTATTATTAGATCAATGTTCATTTTCCTTTTGGGACTTTCATATTTATAAACAGATACGGACAGTGGGTACTTTATTAACTATGTTGAGTGACAGACATAACCAACAGGTGTTCTAGGTCATGGGTTCCCAAAGTCTGGTCCTCAAAATGACAATCTAAGTAAGGCAGGGGCTGGCAAGCTTTTTCTCTAAAAGACCAAATGGCAAATCTTTCATGCTTTGCAAACCACAGGAACTCTGCTCTAGTTCCTGCAGCAGGGAAGTGGTCCTAGATGATATGGAAACAAGAAGTGTGGCTGTGGTCCAATAAAACTTTACGTGAAAACAGGCAGAATAAAAATATGAAGCTTATAAGGACATTTAAAAACATATAAGCAAAGCAACTGGGACTATGGGCCTGAGCAGCTATTCTATATATAAAGTGGGAAAATTTTGGTTCACAAATCTGTTGATGTCTCTTGGCTTCTCAGAGGCTTTTTCTTCTCTTATTTCTAGGTTCTTAGTTCAATAGTTAAGACTGCTGAAGGGGTGATATTTCCATAGATTGGGGTCAGCAAACTACGGCAGCATGCCAAATCTGTCCTGCTGCCTGTTTTGTTCATTTAATTTTTATAGCTGCTTTTGGGCTTCATAGGTAGAGTTTAGTAGTTGCTACGGTGACCTTTTGGCCCATAAAGACTGCAATATTTGCTATCTGACCCTTTACAGAAAGTGTTTGTGAACCTGTTGTAAAGAGTTAACTAGTCTGAACTTGAAGGCAAAATGCAACAAAGTAGTCACTTGTGTATCATACAGACTCAATAAATACTTGTCTCGTGTATTTATTGTTCACAGAATAACCCAATAAGCATGTGAGCATAAAGGCACCAATTATTATGCCCCCCAAATTAATTATCATTACATGTCCTGACTTCTGTGAAGCTACCTTCCCTGGCCTCTGCCCCTAGCATGGAAGCAGCTGCTTTGCCACCTGCCAGCCAGAGGTGCTACCCAGGTCTCGCCTCTCCTGTCCTCAGAATGAGGAAGGACAAGGAGAGAGTGAAAAAAGAGCGATCAAGAGGAAGGATGAGCAGGCCGTTTAGTCGCAGATTCTACGCACACATTTTATGATAAAAACAGACTTCTAAAAATTAAGGAAGCTTTTTATTTAGGGTTTTAAAGTGTGGGTGTTTACAGTGTCGTGATTCTCATTTCTTTGACTGCATTAGTTAGGACAGCTTTGGAGGTGGGCTTCCGGGGCCTGGCGAGCTCGCTCTATGGTCTGCATATGCTGTCCTCTCTCTGCCCAGCTCTCCAAGTTTTGCTGGATGCCAATTCATTGTTCCATCCAGTACCCCCCAATGTGGGCTTCACAGAATCAGCACAGATAAAAACATGGAGCAAGCGCATAGAGACGCCTCCAACCACTGGTTCTCTCAACTGAAGAAACGGGCAGGATGGTGAGATTGCTACACTCATATTCCGCCTTTGAGGTGATTTTGAGTTCTTATGCCATTTTCTGTGCCATTAATAACCTTCCAAATAGGAAAGGAACCTCTTCAATAAAACATGACAACATATGAGCGCCAGGAGAGTCCCGCTTCTCGGCAGCTACACTGTGACTCTCGGGGGCAGGAGGCGAGCACACGGAGACCTTCTGGAATGGTGTCCAGGGCCTCGGATGCCTTCACAAAAGCTTTGATGAAGACACACCTCAGAAAAAGGGCTGCACAGGCTGTTTTGCTTGTTAACTCAGAGAGTACTCACTGAGCGCTTATAATTTTAAGGCTAAGCAGGGCATGTGGTGAGGAAGAGCCTGGTATCATGGATGCACTGTCTTGGCAGCCTTAGATGCCCACGCAGCTGGGAAATTCTTCTCAGAGGGATGCACACGTCTTACCTCGTTCCTCGGCCAACACTGAGCCAACACAACGGCCTCCCTTGTTGTTCTTCATCTGCAATACAAATGTGGGGAACAACAGAGACAGACCAAGTATTTTAATGCCTTTCCTGCAAGTCCGGAGAGAGGCTGCCTCAGCCTGGGCCGGCCCCCAGGGCGCTGGCCAGGAGGGAGTCCTCGGGAGGTGGGGGTGCACCTGCGGTCTTTTGCTTTGCAGGTGGGCCTCTAGATGAAGGGTGAGATGGTAATGTGACCATTTAAAATTATACTCCTCCTCTCATACCATCTAGATATATAGGCTCCTCTTTTTCAAGCAGAAGAAGGTGGGTGTTTAATCACTGAAGAGGTATTGACAGGCTTGTGGGCTGCCGGAGGAGAGTCACTTTGGAGAGGAAGAGGGCTGTGCAGAGGGAGAACTGGCTGGGCCACCCCACCCTCTGCCTCTGTCTCGGATGTGTCTGTCTCTGTGTGTGTCTGTGTGTCAGATGTGTTATATTTAATACATTGACGTCTGGGTTTTTTTGCCTTTAGGGAGAGAAAACCAGCTTCTCTCAGTCTCTGGACCCTCCTGCGTTTGTCCGCTGCTCCCAGGGTATCAGATGAGTTCATTTCTGGGTACAGCAAGCTGGAGAGAAACCGTTTTGCACCTTTCTGCAGTACTTTAAGCCTTCTCCTTTGATGTGGACAGAGGGATTCTAGGCTGAAAAGATGAAACTTTGTCTTTAGCAGGCACATGGAATTTACTTGTGGACCTGCTCAAAGAAGTCTGGGTTTTAGTTTAGAAGCAACTGAACTGCTTGCTAGTCAATAGATAGCCTTGCTCAGGATCTCAGGGAGGGCCTGGGTTTGCACAGGGCCCCTTCTAGAATGCAGGGTGCTCACAGGAGGGAGACGTGGGCCAAGCACCAAAAGCATGTCACCCTCACAAGCTTTGAATTGTGGGTGAGCAGGCTGGAGCTCAGTATGCAAGCATGATGATACTTGGCATCCAAGGTGAATCTTGACTGTGTCCATGCACCCCATCTCCACGTTACCACACAGCAAAACACCTAGCAGCAGGGAGAGCGTTCGTATGGCTCCAGCAGGGGCTGGGAGGCCGGGCTTCCAGGCGCCCCATATGGGGTGACAGAGCCCTGAACACACCTTTATAACTTGGCATGGACACATCTGCTCCATCTGAAGAGGTCACTGACCCCATTTTGGGCAGAAAAGCACTCCTTTTCTTCCCAGATTGTCCTTGAGGGGGAAGTGACTATGAGAGAACCTTATTTTAAGGGCTAAACTGCAGTGTCAGGAAGCAATTTTGTTCAGGTGCCCTCCTGAATTTCCCTTGGGAACTTGGAACAAAGCCCCAAAGGTCACGTGCCCACCTGCTTTCTCAGGGAGGCTGACAGAAATGCAGCGCAGCAC